ATGATCTCACTCATATGTGGAATATAAACCAACACATGGACAGAGAAAACTGGACTGTGGTTACCAGGGCAGTGGGGGTGGGGGGTGGGCACAAGGGGTGAGGGGAGTCATATATGTGGTGATGGACAAACAAAAATGTACAACCCAAAATTTCACAATGTTAGAAACCATTAAAACATCAATAAAAAAAAAAGAAATAGAAAACTACACAAAGACAGGGAAAGCAATTCCGTGTTTTGGATTGGAAGAATTAACATAATTAAGTGTCAATACTCCCTAAAGAACTGGACAGATTTAGTGCAATGCCTATCAAAGTTCCAGTGATGTTTTTCACAGAAATAGAACAAAGAATCCTAAAATTTATATGGAACAACAAAAGACCAGAAAAGCCAAAGGAATCCTGAAAAAAAAGAACAAAGCTGGAGGTATCATACTCCCTGACTTCAAAATATACTACAAAGCTATAGTAATCAAAACAGCATGGTACTGGCACAAAAGCAGACACACAGATCAATGAAACTGAATCAAGACCCAGAAATAAACCCACACATCAGTGGACAGCTAGCTTTCAACAAGGGAGCCAAGAACATACAATGGAGAAAGAAAAGTCTCTTCAACAAATGGTGTTGGGAAAACTGGACAGGCATATGCAAAAGAATGAAAGTAGACCATTATCTTATACCATACACAAAAATTAACTCCAAATGGATTAAAGACTTGAATGTAAAAACTGAAACCATAAAACTTCTAGAAGAAAACATAGTACGCTCGTTGACATTGGTCTTAGCAACATATTTTCAAGTACCATGTCTGACCAGGCAAGGAAAACAATAGAAAAAATAAACAAGTGGGACTACACCAAACTAAAATGTTTCTGCATAGCAAAGAAAACCATCAACAAAACGAAAAGTTAACCTAACAATTGGGAGAAGATATTTGCAAATCATATATGTGATAAGGGGTTAACATCCAAAATATATAAATAACTCATACATCTCAACAACCAAAAAACACTAACAACCCACATAAAAAAAAATAGGCGAAAGACTGGAACAGACATTTATTCAAAGAAGATATACAGATCGCCAACAAGCATATGAAAAGATCTTCAACTTCACCAATTATCAGGGAAATTCAAATCAAAACTACCATGAGATATCAACTCACGCCTGTCAGAATGGCTATAATTAACAAGACTGGAAACAACAAGTGTTGGAGAGGATGGAGAGAGAAGGGAACTCGCATACACTGCTGGTGGCAGTTCAAACTGTTGCAGCCACTATGGAAAACAGTGTGTAGATTCCTCAAAAATTAATACTAGAACTCCCACTCGATCCTGCTATTCCACTGCTGGGTATTTACCCAAAGAACATGAAAATATGAATGCATAAAGATACATGCACCCCTATGTTCATTGCAGCATTATTCACAATAGCCAAGACTTGGAAGCAACCTAGGTGCCCATCAAGGAAAGAATAGATAAAGATGTGGTATATATACACAATGGAATACTACTCAATCATCAAAAAGGATGAAATCTGGCCATTTGTGACAACATGAATGGACCTTAAGCGTATTAGGCTAAGCAAAATATGTCAGATGGAGAAAGTCAAATACCATATGATCTCACTCATAAAAAGAAGATGAAAACAACCACAATCAAACACATAGAGACAGAGATTGGATTGGTGGTTACCAGAGGGGAAGTGGAGGGGGGATGATGGAAGGGGTGATTAGGTATATGTGTATTGTGATAGATCGTAATTAGTTTTGCATAGTGAACATAACGTAACCTACAGAGAAATGAAATATAATGAGGTACACCTGAAATTTATATGTTATAAGCCAATGTTACCACAAGAAAAAAAATAAAATTCAATTCCAGATCCACACCTTCGTTACCCATATTTGTACCTCAAAAAAGAAATGCTGGTTTATTTACCAGAAAAGGGAAAGATTTCCCCTTGTTCTAGCTCATTTACTCAAGCAATGAAACCACATCTGGAACAGCAGCTGCAATTGGAGTCACCACCTGGTTAAGTTTATGATAATCCACTGTCGTTTTCTAAGATCTCTTTTCTGCACAAGCCAAATAGTCAATTTGAATAGGGATATGGTGGGAATCACTGCCCCTGAATTTTTCAAATACTTGGTTGTGGTATTATTCTCTAAAATCCTTCCAACAATGTGATATTGCTATTAGTTTACTATTTTCCTAGGTAGAAGCAGTTGTAGTGGCTTCCATTTGGCCTTTTCTTGTCATAGAAGTCTTCACTCCACAGATAAGGAGACCAATATGGGGATTCTGCCAGTTCCTGAGTATGTCTATGCTACTTATGCATTCCAGAAATGAGGAAATAACCACAGGATGGGTTTGGACACTCACTAGACCTATTGTGTAAGGGATTTAAGCTAAAGCTTCATTGATCACCTGACCTCCATAAGCCCCTACTCTGACTTGTGGAACACAGTGTTATTTTGGGTCTCCTAGAATTAGAGTCTGTCCAGTAATAATTAGAAAATCTGATTATTTTTCCACAATGCACAGTCACCATGGTAAAAGGCCATAGGTCCTTTTGGGGAAGGGTTGGAGAAAGATTAACAGCATAAATTTTAGGCAGTGTAGCTGGGTCCTTCCTCAAGGGCCTGTCTTCCCCTTCATTCAAGAGATTCTGAATCTGTAAACTGACTCAAGTCTGGGAATTGATAGAGGAGCCATGACTCTTGTTTTGGTGATTCATGTTAGACTTCTGTTAACTTGGTCTAGAACTCTTCCATTTATGCAAATTAAGTAAAAAAATTAGTAGACTGCCAATCTATTTCTCTTCTGTGGACACCATCATCAACTAGCCAATGCCACAGGTCTTTGTGCACCATGATATTCTGTTTACTGTTTTGGGTCCAATGTCCTTCATGCTAACTATGCTCACCTTGTATTTAGCAACTAAGTGCCACCCCTTGGCCCTGCTATCCTGCTATCCCATTTATCCTCATTGCATTTAGGGATTCTAATTCAATGATGGCTGTTTCAAATGCAATTTCTGACCTGCAGAGAAAAATGACCACAGAGATCGTTAAGGATACTGGGATTCCCCTCACAAGTTTATTTTTCAGTCACAGTGTAAAGGACCCTCCATATCTGGACCCTTCAATGGTGGGTGAGCAAGTGTTATATGATTAATCCACTCTAACATTCCAATCCTCCTAAGTATTTGGATACCTTCCTCTACAGTATACCAAGGCAGTTCTGGCATTTCATGTTCATTTAGTGTAGGCACCTTTGGAACCATGTTTCAGCCTACCAGCCAAACTATTAGAGACCTTTCTAACATTTTAAGATAAAACATGTAATTCAGAATCTCTGCTTCATGGGATCATATCAATAAATGTTTCCTTATTTAACTTTGTATTCCTTCCACTATAATCCCAAAACCTTAAGATCCATTCCAACTCTTATTTCACAGGCTTCTGTCTGTACAAATTGGGAAAATCCCATAGTTCTTTTGGTATGTATTGCAAGCATTCATAGGTCACACTTTGTAACTCACTCTTTGAAGCCTGCTGAGACTTGAGACTAGTTATAGGTCTAGAAGCAAAGAGGAGAGGCAGGGGAAAGTCGCGAGGAGAAAAAGCTGTACTTTGCAAGGTAACTACCTAGGAAGAAGCCATTACAGATTATTCAAGTAAAGGAAAGCCAACTTCCTTAGGCAGAGGTGGAAAGGCTGCTTCTACTGGCAAAAAAAGGTGAGCAGAATGTAAGGGTTTGATGTCTCCAGCTTCACCAAGAAGTGACCATATGGGACTGTTCCAATCTTCAGGATCCCTTTCTTTCCCAATCAATGACTCATTTAATAGAAGACACCATGAAACATTGTGATTTCAACTTTTATAGTTCAGTCACAACCGGAATTAGACTCTGGGTTTGGTTATCAGAAATTTTGGCCCTGTGGCTACACGAGATGAGTTTTTGTCAGGGTAGACACAAAAGCTTTTAGGTCATTTATGCAGAGTTTGAGTTGGGAATTTGAAGCCCTGGTTTATCCTTTTCTTTCTCCACTTTCTCCAGTACAGTTAGGAGCAACAAGTTAATTCCATCATATTTCTTACTGTTTTCCATAATGTCTGCAACACTTTACATTCCCATGAGCAGTGTAATAGGGTTCCCTTTTCTCTACATCCTCTCCAACACTTGTTACTTTTTGTCTTGTTAATTATAGGCATTCTGACAGGCTTGAGGTGATAACTCATTGTAGTTTTGATTTGCATTTCCCTAATAATTAGTGATGTTGAACAACTTTTCATGTGCCTGTTGGCCACCAGTATAGCTTCTTTGGAAAAATGTCTGTTCATATCCTCTGCCCATTTTTTCATCGGGTTGTTTGCTTTTCTGTTGTATGTGTTCTTTGTGTATTTTGAATATTAACGCCTTATCAGATTTATGAATTGTAAATATTGTCTCCCAGTTGGTGGGTTGTCTTTTTGTTTTGTTGAAGGATTCCTTTGCTGTGCAGAAGTTTTTAGTTTGATGTAGCCCCACTTATTTATTTTTTATTTTATTTCCCTTGCCTGGAGAGACAAGGTATTCAAAATATACTGCTAAGACTGATGTCAAAGAGAGTACTGCCTATGTTTGCTTTTAGGAATTTTATGGTATCAGGGCTTACATTCAAGTCTTTAATTCACTTTGAGTTAATTTTTGTGTGTGGTATAAGATAATGGTCTACATTCATTCTTTGCATGTGGCTGTCCAGTTCTCCTGGCACAATTTATTGAAGAGACTGTCCTTTCTCCATCGTATGTTCTCTCTTTTGTTGAAGATTAGCTATCCATAGATGTGTGGTTTAATTTCTGATCTCACAATTCTGTTCCATTGATCTGTGCATCTGTTTTTCTACCAGTATCATGCTGTTTTGATTACTATAGCTTTGTAGTATTTTTGTGTGTGTGTGTGTGCAGAAGATCAGTCCTGAGCTAACATCCATGCCAATCCTCCTCTTTTTGCTGAGGAAGACCGACTCTGAGCTAACATCTATTGCCAATCCTCCTCCTTTTTTTCCCCAAAGCCCCAGTAGATAGTTGCATGTCATAGTTGCACATCCTTCTAGTTGCTGTATGTAGGACGCTGCCTCAGCATGGCCGGAGAAGCTGTGCATCGGTGCACGCCCAGGATCCGAATCTGAGCTGCCAGCAGCGGAGCATGTGCACTTAACCTCTAAGCCATGGGGCTGGCCCCTATAGTATATTTTGAAGTAAGGGAGTGTGATACCTCCAGCTTTGTTCTTTTTTCTCAGAATTGCTTTGGTATTCAGGGTCTTTTGCTTTTCCATCTAAATTTTAGGATTCTTTTTTCTATTTCTGTGAAGAATGTCATGAGGATTCTGATTGGGATTGCATTCAATCTGTAGACTACTTTGGGTAATATGGACATTTTAACTATGTTTATTCTTCTAATCCATGAGCATGGAATATCTTTCCATTTCTTTATATAT